CCCAAAAATGCTCCCAGTCTACAGAACCGGGGGGGTCCGGGGCCGTTTTCAGGCTTTGAGAGCTGGGGGCTTCCTAGGAGCAGCAGCTGAGGTCCTGGGTGTTACTCTGTGCATCAGTCCAGATTGCTTCCTACCTCTGGAACGTGAATGGGATCAAGAGATTTGCCTTAAAATTCAACTTTCTGTACTAAAAAAGTGCTGAGGTGTTGACACAGGGAGGTGGTGGAGACCTCATCCCTGGAGGGGCTCAAGAAAAGTGTAGATGTAGCAGTTGGGGACACGGTTTAATGGTCGTGGTTGGGTTGATGGTTGGACTTGATGATCTTGAAGGGCTTTTCCAACCTCAACAACTCTATCCTTCTATCTGACCACCCCAAAGGTGGCACTTGGCTTGACCTGCTGTCACTTCAGCTGCTTGTCCAAGCTCTTCCCTTCTCCCTGGGCTCCTGGATGAAGAAGCAGGAGGCAGGCAGACTTCATCAACCTATCTTCTCCTCCATTTGATGTGGCTGAGCCCTGAGCACCAGGGCACTTATCAGCTCCACCGGGGCGTTATGTGAAATAATTTTGCAATCCTTCCAAATTTCTGAAGCTCTTGAGGAGGAGAGGACTGATAAGGTGCCACGGAATGCCCTCCTCCCCCTCTCCTGCCCCAAAATCCACCGTGGCTAATGACAGCCGAGTCTCCAAACCTGTTTTTTCTCACCCCATTAACGCAGCCTGTGAGAAGCGGCGAAGCTTGCAGCTGGAGCAGGATATGCAAATGAGATGCAAACAACCTCTCCTGGGCAATTTTGGGGCCCGTGAGCTGGAAACTAACACCTGAATCTCTATTTTTTTTTGTTTCAGATGAGCGGCATGTTCGAAACCTGGCTGGGCAGCTTGGTGGCTGCTCTTCAGGAGAGGGAGAAGGATGCCAACGTGGTGGTGGTGGACTGGCTCCCTCTCGCCCACCAGCTCTACACCGACGCCGTGAACAACACGAGGCTTGTTGGGAAAAGCATCGCCAGGCTGCTCGACTGGTTGCAGGTAACCTGAGTGAAGAGCTTCTCCAGGGCCTGTTGCACAAGCCCTGTCCACCAAGCCCTGCTGTAATCCCAACCTCCAAGGTTGGGGGATGGCTCAAAGCTCGGGTTCAAAGCCGGCGTTGGCTCGGCGAGAAGGTTGGAAGGGAGAAGGTGCCACCTGGGTGCTCGAGTCCTTGGCCACTGCTGAGGTCTATCCCATGGGGATGCTGCTCCAGGTGCTTCTGAAACGAAGAACCTCACAGCTGAAGGTTGGAAGATGGGTGCTGTCCAAACCCATTCAACGTGTCTTGATGCTTTTTCCCCCACCTCTCCTTAGAATTTGACTTCAGAGTCCTGCACGTGGCACTGGTGCCAGATGCCCTGAATGACTTGATGAGGATTTTACCCCCCCATTTTTTTTTTTTTCCTTTGCAGGAGAACCCACTTTTCCAGCTGGAGAATGTCCACCTGATTGGGTACAGCCTGGGTGCCCACGTGGCTGGCTTTGCTGGCAACCACGTCCATGGGAAGATAGGCAGAATTACAGGCAAGTGGCTTTTGAAGAAGTCTCTTCCCTTTCCCCAGCAGCAGCCAGTTTCCCCGAAGAGGCTCGTTTCCTGTCTTGCTGAGCTGTTGTTTGGGGCTCTTGCTCGTTCAGAAATGACAAGTTTCCTACCTGTGGTGGCAGGAGGAGATGACAGGTCTCTTTTCCTGAAAAAGTTTCTTAATTTTGAACCCCAAATGGAGCAAAGGTTCAATGAGGAACCTTCTAGAGGACAACGTGAGCATAGTTGCTCAAGGAAAGGAGAACCATTGGGTGCTGTTTGTCCTCTGGGATGTGGGGTCAACAAACCCAACACCCCAACCCTTCATGCTGAAAATATCTTGAAGAGAGTGCTTCTGACTCCAGAGGATTTCAACACTTGAGAACTTAGGGCATGGTACAGGGGGTTGTGTGAAGTGTTTAAATGGCAGTGAGAATTCCTCAGAGCCTAGCATCAAATTTTTAGGCAAGCAGGAAGATCACTTACCAATCAAGCTGGGGATTGGTTCAGGAGGACAGCTTCAGATTAGGGGTGAGGCTCAAGAGGTCAACAGAAGGTCCCAAACCCCTCGTGGGATCTCAGATGCAGGGATTAGCTGGCTGCTGCTTAAATTTGTGTGAGTCCCTCCATCTGTCCAGCCTGAAAACAGATTCCATGTTGCCAAGGCAGCTTTGGTCTCCGTGGGGTGCTCAGACCTCTTCTGGTGTTTGCTCATCTTGAAGCAACTCTGTGACCTAGCAAAGACTCTTTGCTTCCACCAGGCTACCTGAAGCCACTGCTGTAGAGCAGTCTGGTCCTCCTGAAGTCACATAAGTCCTCTTCCTTTGTTCAAGACCATGGTGATGAGATCTTGAGGGACAAGATCAGTGAGGCAGGGACAGCACCTGGGCAGGAGGGCTTCTAGCAGCAAGCTCCTGGCTCTGGTCTGTAGGAAATAACCCCATGTCTTCCTTGGCATCTTGTGTGCTGTGTCTAACCCCAGGCTTGGATCCAGCTGGCCCCATGTTTGAAGGGGTGGACCCGAGCAAGCGCCTCTCCCCTGATGATGCCAACTTTGTGGATGTCCTTCACACCTACACCAGGGAGACCCTGGGTGTCAGCATTGGGATCCAGATGCCTGTAGGCCACGTTGACATCTACCCCAACGGGGGAGACTTCCAGCCTGGCTGTGGTTTAAGTGATGTCTTGGGAGCAATTGCCTATGGGAGTAAGTTTTTGTTACTTATTTTCATACAATCCTGTAGGTTGGAAGAGACCTTTAAGATCATCAAGTCCACCCATTAAGGCTCTGGTCAGTCTAAACTCCTCACAAACAGACCTGGCTCAATGCTGGGGGATGATCTGATTTACAAGAGCCAAGAAAACTTATTTTTTTTCCTTCTAAACTGCCTGTACTAGAATCACAGCATGGTTTGGGTGGGAAAGGACCTTTCAAGGTCCTCTAAATCCAACCCCCCTGCAGGGAGCAGGGACATCCCCAACTAGAGCAGGTTGCTCAGAGCTCCATCCAACCTCCCCTGGGATGGTTCCAGGGATGGGGCAGTGACCACCTCTCTGGGCAACCTGGGCCAGGGGCTCACCACCCTCAGCTTGAAGAATTTATTCCTTCTATCTAAATCTAAATAATTTTAATGATCTACATTTATCTAGATTTAATTCCTTCCATCTAAAAGTCCCTTTTAGTTTCAAAGGGCTCATAGTTTAAAAGGAGGAAGATTCAGTCTAGATAGAAGGATATTTTTTTACAATGAGGGTGGTGAGACACTGAATCTACTGGAGAAAGCTGCAGGAAACTTAAGCAGCATATTCCCATTCTAGCACCTGATAATAAACAGGGTCTAGAATCTTCTTTACCATCTTCATGGTAGAGCCTAAGCGAAGAATCCTCTTCAAATCTCTTCTGCTAACCTCTTGAAAAATCACTGAGTCCTTCTGGTTGGAAGAACCCTTTAAGATCCTCAAATCCAACCCTTCACCCAGCACTACCAGGTCCCCACTGCTCCCCAGCCCTCAGATGTTCAGATTTGACCACGGCCAACTCAACGTTGAGCTACGACCGAGTCCCGACTCCCAGCCGGGGCGAGAAACGGCTTAACCCAAACGCCCCCCTCTCAACTCTTGCCCCTCCAGCCATAGGTGAGGTGGTCAAATGCGAACACGAGCGCTCTGTGCACCTCTTTGTGGACTCCTTGGTCAACCAAGACAAGCAGAGCTTTGCCTTCCAATGCACCGACTCCAGTCGCTTCAAGAAGGGGATCTGCCTGAGCTGCCGGAAGAACCGCTGCAACGGCATCGGCTACAACGCCCGCAAAACCCGCAGCAGGAGGAACACCAAGATGTACCTGAAGACAAGAGCAGACATGCCCTTCAAAGGTATGGTGGTCCTCCTTAAAAAGGCACCTCGAGGAGCGGGCTCGACGTTGGGGAAGGTCTAGAGGGGGTGCTGCTCCTCTTGGGAGCGCCTCGAAGACGAGCGTTGGGCTTTCGGTGGTACCTGCTTGTGGTGCTGTCCTGGGGCTCCTTCCTCCACCTAAAATTATCACCAGGACTCTGGTCTTGGGCTGTTGAGGCCCATTTTGGTTCACACATGTCATACTTGCAAGCTGAGCCTGACCTTAGAGTGCTTTGAGGTTTGGGAAGCCCTCCCCAGAGTGAACCTGCTGCTGGTGTTGTGTAAATGTCAACTCTTGAAGGAGGAAGACAGGACAAAGCCATCAGTGGTGTCTCAGAGGGGGCTCCAGCCTTTGCCAGCCCAAACTGTTTCACAGAGAGTGATGCTGGGTGGTGTTGTCTCTCAACAAAGCACGTTCCATCTGTGCTCTCCTTGTTTTTCTCCAGTGTACCATTATCAGATGAAAATGCATGTCTTCAGCTACAAGAGTCTGGGAGAGGTGGATCCCACATTCTCTGTCACCCTTCATGGCACCAATGGAGACTCTGAACCTCTCTCTTTAGAAATGTAAGTAAGCTGGTCTGTGGTAGGGCTTGGAAGGGACCTCTGGAGATCATCTCCTCCAAGCCCCCTGCTCCAGCAGGTCACCTAGGATGGCATCCAGGGGGGTTTGGGATCTCTCCAGAGCAGGAGCCGCCCCAGCCTCTCTGGGCAGCTGCTCCAGGCGCGGCCACCCTCACCCCAAAGAAGTTTCTCCTCCTGCTCAGGTGGCACCTCCTGGGTTCCAGTTGGTGCCCGTTGCCCCTTGTCCTGTCGCTGGGCACCACTGACCAGAGTCTGGCCCCAGCCTCTTGCTCTCCACCCTTTAGCTCTTGCTCAGCATTGATCAGATCCCCTCTGAGTCTTCTCCAGGCTCACCAGCCCCAGGGCTCTCAGCCTGTCCTTCTCACAGAGATGCTCCAGCCCCCTCAGCATCTTCCTAGCCCTAAAGAAAGCCACTGGAACTAGACAAGGTGGCATCACTGGTGAAACTCCTCCAGCAGCCTCTTTTCATCACCATTCCAAAAACTTTCCATCCACTCATTTCATTCTAATTTATTGCTGAGAAAGCAATTTCATGTGCCCAGTCCTCCTCAGGGCTCGTTGCTGAAGTCCTTTGTTTTGCTTCTCTCCACCATTTGGCCATAGTCTGAAAGCACCCTTATCTCTGGAGGCATTGTTTGACCTCCTTTAGCCTCTCCCAGAAGAAACACAAGACAAGAAATTCCCTTTTAAGCTCTGGAAGGGTGGCTGAGCCAAATTCCCCAGTGGGTTGTGTAGAACCAGCTACCTAAGCTCCTTTTTCATGAGTCTAATCAGTCATTAACTGGTGACAGTTGAACATTTGATAAGCTGCAAAGGGCTCTGGTGAACTTCTTGCAGGGAATGAGTGAGCATCTGGCATCCTTCCATGAGGAAGAAAACGTTGAGGCTCTTGCTTCTCTTTCAGGCTCGATCAAATTGGCTTAAATGCTACTAACACCTTCCTGGTCTATACTGAAGAGGACATGGGTGAACTGTTAAAAATCAAGCTCACCTGGGAAGGAACATCTCAGTCGTGGTATGATCTGTGGAAGGAGTTGAAGAGCTACTGGTATCGACCTGCCAAGTCTCCCCAGGAGCTCCACATCAGACGTATCCGTGTGAAATCTGGGGAGACACAACAGAGGTAATCATTCCCATCAAAAAAAGGGAAATATTCAGAATCTAGCCAGGAAAATGGAGGGGTTTGAACTTGGTTGGTATCCTGAACTTTCATTTTTCGTGATAGAATCACCACATTGGTTTGGGTTGGGTGGGAGCTTTAAAAGTCATCTAAGTCCAACCTCCTTGCAGTGAGCAGGGATGATGGTCCCTCCTGGTGCAGGACAGCATGAGGTTGCAAACCAGGTTTTAAGCAAAACCAGTTGCTGCAGATCAGCCCTGGGCTGTTATTTGGCTTTATTTAGATGCTGTGAGATTGTCTTGCCTGCCCTTGAGGACTAAATGAGCCTCCCTTCAGATGGTTGAGGTCACACCTGAAGGGTTCAAGCACCAAAAATCCTGGAATAGGGGTGGGCATGGCTGTTATTTACAGTCACAATGTGCCAATTTTTGCACAAGCTAGACCTAAAACTGCAAGGGGCAACCTGGTGACATCAACTCTTTGAGCAACATTGTTCCTCCTGAGATCTCTGCAGCTGGAAAGCTACCTGAGCAACCAAGGAGAAGGTGCCAAGCAGGTAGCACTGGGCTCCCAGATCCCATCTGGATGTTGTTCTGACCCAGAGAACAACAGTGGATATTGATGATTTCCCACATCTCTCAGAGCTCTGAAGAAGTGTCACCTCTTGTCTGCATTCAGCAGCCTGGTTTCTACAGTTGTCAAGGGTTAGGGCTGGCCCCTGGGTCAATGAGAAGACAACCATCTCTTAAACAGAGGGGTAGGAGGGGCAAAGATCCCCAGATAAAATCTTAAAGTAGGAAACAAACCAACCATTCACCAGGCTAATGGTGTGTTGAGGTGCTCCACGGGATGTCCCATCAAACAGCTTCTCCTAGAAGTAGCTGTAATCCATATTGCACCTTCTTTGTTAACCACAGAGACAACAGGAACCTTCTCATGACCTCTTGATTCCTCCTCCTCCTCCTAGGTTTGCTTTCTGTGTGGAGGATTCCCAGCTCACCAGTATAACTCCTGGGAAAGAGCTCTGGTTTGTGAAGTGTGCAGAAGACTGGCAAAAAAGGTAGGGGAGGGGAAAGAAAAATCAACCCAGAAAAGTCCTGTCTGATGCTTGTGGCCTAAATACCAGCTTGGAAGGGACCTCCAGGATCATCTGGTCCAACCTTTCTTGATAAAAGCACAGTCTAGATATGATGGCCCAGCATCTTGTCCAGCTGAATCTTTAAAGTGTCCAATGCTGGGACATTGACCCAGTTGAGCCTTGGGCCTCAAGAACCTGTCTGCTAATGTGCTAGATGCTACAAATGAGGTGCTACCAACACCCCAGGTCCATGCAGCAGTGGACAGCTAATTGGAGGTATCTAAAAACTGCCTTGTAGAAGAGGAAGGCTGAGAGTGCAAGATTGAGAAGATCATTTCAGCCTGGTAGAAGATCCTGAGTTGCTTTAATCTCTTGATTATCATCTTCTGCATTATCATGTTCTTGATGAGTCGTGTTCTGAATGAATCCCTTGTTCCTTTGATAGCCTCCTCCAGTTGAAGCCCTTTTAGCTCCTCTTAAACCCCAATTTGGAAACTTGGAGCTCTGTTGCTTCTAAGCCACCAATGAAACACTCTCTTCAGGGCTAGCAGAAGCCTCTGGAAGAGCTGTGCCAAAAAACTTGTGGCTCTGCCACAAGCCTTGAGAGACTTGAGTAAATATTCCTGGGACAATAAAAGGTTGGTTTGATATGCTCCATAAACCAGAACTGTTGGCAGACTCCTTGCTTCCTCCAGCTTCTGCAGGAGGTGGAGGAGCAGGTCTGAGCTTCCTGGTCTCTAGGAAATGATCCTTCCAAAGAGCAGGAGCAATTCCTTGCTGCCCAGGTCTCCCTTCCTCTCAAACACCAACCTGTCCAGTCTAAACCTGCTCTCAGTGGCCCAGAGCTT